ATTTTCAGTTATTTTTGTAAATGAGTACCAGGGGGTGATAAGTACCCTTACTCATTCATGGGGGGCAGATATTGGGGAGCTCTCTTATTTTAAAGGGGACTTCAGGATACTGATATGTCCTCCCCAAAGACCATGACATCCACTGAGCTAGGACTATGGGGATAAGGTCCCATCAACACGGGTACAAGGGTCTGGCATGGCTTTAGGGGGGAGCCCACACCATGTTTTGTTTTTCTGCCACTAAATAAGGACTTCCATCTGCAAACAGAAGGGGATGGTTGGGCATATTTCCCATCTCTGGCCATTTATTTCTATCCTTTGATGAACTGTGAACAGCTTGGGTTATGTTAGAACTCATGGTCACCCCAATGCCTTAAGTAAGAAGTAAAATGGCAATCGTGACAATGTGTGGGAGAGAAATAGGCAATTTTTACACACAGCAGACAACAAACGAGTAAATGTTACAATATGTGGGCAACAAATGGGCGACTGTTACAATAAATAGGCAACAAACAGGCAACTGTTAAAATACACAGGCTACTAATGGGCAATTGTATTTATAGTGTCTAATGCAATGTTCCTAGCTATTGTGAAGCTATTTTTTGGTAGGACAGGTCCTGAATAGTTAAAAGGAACTTCCTCATACCTCAGGGTAAGAGTCAATGAGAGTCTGTGGGGTTGATTAACTAAAGGCAAAGTAAAGCTTCAATTTGTAAAGGATACCCAATCAGGTGCAAGGAAAATAAAAAAAATATATATTTTTGCTTGCACGTGATTGGATGATGAAAATTAGCAGAGCTTCACCACATTCACTAAGCTTTGGGAAAAATCATTGCACTACACTTACAAAGTTCACAGGTGTGAATCCTCCACTGCAGCTTTTAGTAAATCAACCCCTTGGGAGTCCATTGTACCACTGAAAAATCATCTTAATTTTGCGTTCCATTGTCTACAATGCTAAAATGTCCCAATTTTTGTAGAGATTTCAGCAGAGCGAAAAATCTAAATTTTGCTCATACATAGGTAAGATAAACATCCATTTACAATAGGTAAACATTTCAGATACACACTAAGTATACATTTGTAAACATTTAGTTACATTCACTTATTTATAAAGTTGTAAATGTTCATAGCCAGTGACTGTTGGGTGAATATTTAAATGGAAGATATTGCATTTTTGTATATATTTTTATTTTTCTGTTTATGACTAAAAAAATTAAATAAACATTTTAATTCTGTAATATTGCATATCAAATGTATTCTTCCTCACCCAGATTTTGTTGCTTTATTTTTTTACACATGCACTTGGAGCATTCATTTTTTAATAGCTAATCTCCAGAAAAATGTTTTACACAGCTGAAATACATTTTCAGTGTATGTACCTTCAAAAAAGAGGATTTTGTTTGTATTTCTCTGTAGCCATTCTTGTGATCCAGGCACCACTGTCACACAGCTTAGTCAGGCATGAAACCTCAATTGCAGCTGCAAGGATACAGAAGAACTCAGGCACACCTCAGCTTGTTGAGAACAAAAAGGAGAATGTTGATGAGGTCATCCCTCTGCTTACCTTGCTGTCACCTCCTGTCAGCAAATCAAAAGACCTAGGTTTTTGGCACTCTCAGTGCCCGGGGTAATACATAGCTCAACTTTCACACCTGTTCCCACCCTTTGGACCAGGAAAGTGTGTACATTTCTGCTATGGACCTATTGTTTCAGCATTTACTTTGTCATTACTCAAGTAGAGTGCTCTCCAGGTCCAGAGCTGTGACACAGCCTCTGATGTGAACCAGTCATAAAGATTCACTCTATGAGTAAGCCTCTGCTCATGGAGAGGTTAACCTGTAATGTCACCTTTTGGCACTATGCTCTGTATTGCGGCACTTTCCAAACCTTGGTGTATAGTGTCAGAGTGCTCTACAGGTTGAGAACCATGGCACTGCCTCTGGAGTTACCCAGAGCTGACACATACTTGGTACCATTAGGCACCATTTTAAATTTACACCACCACCATTTTGTAATTGTAACATTTAAAGCTGAAGGAACAAAGCGCTGGTGCCAGCTGCTTGCCTCTTGCTCCCACCTTTTTTAGGCTAGAGCAAGCAACTTCTTACTGTTGCTCGTGCCTTTGTAGTACTTTGTGGATTCACCATTCTCTGCTCTTATTTCAATGCCTACTTTCAGTGACTTGGTCACTTTCTGCCATCTACAAACCTCCTCAGTATCAGCTGCAATGACTTGTGAGTAATTAGGACCCTGTCTTTCCTGAGGCATAGATGCTACCCACTTCATGGTGCAAAATATCTCTTAATAGACTTACAGAGGACAGGCTCACTGCATCTGGTTACATCAGCCCATACAACACCGTTGTGGATGGGTTCAGTTTCTCAGTATCCCAAGTAGGGTCCAATGCCAGCATTATTAATCCTGGGACCCCTATTATTAGAAGTGTCCTCGTGGAAGTCTTATATAGCTCCATACCATGAAGCTGAGACCTCCAGGCTGTTCCTTTAATATCTAGTTTGCATTTTTGTTATAGGGCAATGCTTAATTAATGCAACAATCTGCTTACAGGGGTTCAAAATGGGCTCTGATGACTTCAACAACTAAAAACTTATTTGTTCCTAATCTACCTCTAACTCCAAGTGTGTCTGAGGCCCCTATTACTATCTCTGATTCAGTCTTTCACAGCCTTCTCCTGAAAGCCTATATTTCAACAGGTTTCATACACATCAATTCATGCTCTGATTGATGCAATGGGGTTGATTTACCAAAACTGGAGAGTGCAAAATATAGTTCAGCTGTGTATGGTAGCCAATCAGCTTTTAACTTCAGCTTGTTCAATATAAGCTGATTGGTTTCTATGCAAAGCTGCACAAGATTTTGTGCTCTCCCGTTTTATTACATCGACCCCAATGTGTTCTGCCCTGCAATTTAAGGATCAGCCGGTTGTTCCTGACATAGGGTCTTTTAGAGCTGTCGCTTCTAAGACCTTCCCAATACACATTTAATATGTAAATCCTTCCTCTATGAGGACTAAGGAACAACCTGTGAAATTATGGCTTTCTCTTGACCATGTGAAGAAGCTTTTTTTCCTTTTGAAAGGGAGTTTATTGATAAGTGATGCATGCTATAAAACAGGTGGATGGTGCTTTTACCTTCACTGACTATCGGTTAGATTCCTTATTTAAGGCTCAGTTTGATTTCTCTGGCATAACTGTTGGTCCCTTATTGGCAGTGCGTTCATATCATTGAATCCATACCATTGTTGATCAACTCTCTTAAACGAGATGCCTCCATCCAGAGGTTAAACCCATGTCCTGGAGCTTTTAGATCAATTACTTGAAATCCTTTAGTTCAGCTGTTATGGTCTCTTGCAAGTATCTAAGCTGGTATCTTGCATAGACGTTAAGTCTGTTTAGGTGTATTATTATTATTATTACATCGAGTTTATATAGCGCCAAAGGGTTTGCTCAGCGCTGTACAATAGGGGGGACAATACATGGCACAGTACAACAAAAACAGACAGCGTACGAGGGGTAAGAGGGCCCTACTCTTTCAAGCTTACAATCTAGGAGGGAGGTGTATAGGGTACTTTGACTTCCTACCTGGCATGCCAAGGATATGCAACATTTTATTTAATCCCTTTTTAAGGATATACTTCTCTCCTTAACATTGTTATTCCTGATGGCTCTAGTGCTCAGAATGTGTTCCTGGCTCAGCGCTGGAGATTTTGGGATGGGATGGAGGATATTTATTTTTCGTTTACTACTACAGTAGCAATATATGAAGCTTTACCAGCTGCCTGGATTCTGCACTTTATTCTGGCACTATATAGTTGTCTGATCTTGATCATCAAGATGCTTTGAATGCTATGAGCATCTTCAAACGTCTCCAAGCATTTTGTTGTTTTAAATACCTTTATTTCAGCTCATAGAATAGTAAAGTTGTATGTTGTTTTATCTCGCTGTGCTAAAAGTACATATGCTGATAGTAATACCATGAAGCAGATGGCCACAAATTTGGTGGAAAAAAGGTTAATAATTACTACAGCTGACAGTTAACCAGAGAGCACTAATGGGAACAAGCACAAACTGCTGAACTGTCACAACTGTTTGACAATAACCCTTATAAGACCTCTGGTCTTTTCAAATGTTTAAAGACTAAAACGATTAAACCATATGGAAAGCTAAGTTTTTTGCCTAAAGAAATGTAATAAACAATCTGAGGAATGCAAGGCTTTTGGTTCCAAATAATATCTAACTTTTAAATAAAATATAAATAAAACTAGCGTTTGATGTTTAATAGTGGTGTTATGTTAGTTAAATCAGAGAAACTGATCATTGTCTTTTCCTTTAAAAATCACACATTTATTGATTAACTTGGGTCCTGCACATATAGAGCTGAAGATAGCTACCATGCTAAATAATTATACCATAAAGACCCATGTAGACCCCACTTCTGGACAGTAATAGGCAGGGGCGGAGTGACAACTCATGGGGCCCCTGTGTCCTCGCCCACACTCAAACCACACCCAAAAAAGCCTAGGAAATGTATCAAGGGCACCTCATGGGGCCCCTTACTGACCCCGGGCCCTCGGGCAGTGCCCGAGTTTCCAAATGGTCAGTCCGCCCCGGTAATAGGGCATATCCAAATCACTGTAGAAGTTACATGGACAACCTTGCTGTAAAAAGAAGAGAAGACTCAGGACCTGGAATGTCAAAATTACCATGGATTTAGGTAAGCAAAAAAGGCTTTCAGGTTATTTTTTTTAGAACCCAGCAATTAAACAGAGTGAAGTAGGTTTACAGCACAGTGGGAGCTTAGAAAAAATACACAACTGTAATAAATTGTGTTTTTCATATCTGGCTGCTTCAGAGGTATACTCCACTCAGAACTGAAAATAATGCTTTAAAATGCAATAAATAAATCAGATAACAATACTATTTTGGTTGTAATCCAAAGATTTCCATTATGCGATTTTTTTTTTTTTCTCTGCACAGGTATCTGAATCAGACAAAGCCGGAGGAGCTACATAGCACACAAAACAGAGAGAAATTGGCTAACTTCAAACAAGCACTAAACGCTCTGGGGTTCAATAGTCTTGTAAGTCATATTTCTATGGCTCTCACTGTTCAAATGAAAAGGAATGGTGTATATAAAGGAATCAATATAAATCAGGTGTTAGCTATGAAGTGTTCATTTTGTTTTTTGGGGGGTTTTCTTGTAGCAAAAATCCAGCTGCAGGTCCGTTGAGCCAAGCCAAATAATCCATGGGGTTGATTTACTAAAACTGGAGAGTGCAAAATCTTGTGCAGCTCTGCATAGAAACCAATCAGCTTCCAGTTTTTTTTTTTCATCAAAGCTTAATTGAACAAGCTGAAGTTAGAAGCTGATTGGCTACCATGCACAGCTGCACCAGATTTGCACTCTCCACTTTTAGTAAATCAACCCCTATGAATTTCATGTATTTATACAGCACAGCATACATGAATGTTCACCTTGATTTTGCAGTATGTCATTCCAGATAGTTAGTATGAGGTATATTGGCCTTGACTATCAAGCCCCTAATAAGTTCATCTTCAGCTAATTAAAGCGGATCTAAAGTAAAAAAAAAAATGTAAATTTGATATCTTATAGGAAACATCTATACAGGTTAATTTTGCCTAAAGTGGAACTTCACTCTCTTTATCAACATTGACTATTTTTAATCCTTATGCTGCCAGCTTTAGAAAATAGATAGGAAAAGTAATCATATTTACTTGTTTTATACTTTTTTTTTTAATTTCTTAAGTCAATTCCTGGTTTCCTGCCTAAGCAAATTATGTCATACATCCCAGGAGTCTTCAGGAGGGGAGGGCTCTCGTCTCAGACAATGCCTGAGCTAAGAGCGGATGGATTTCAGGAAGTAAATGCTACATGAACCATCTGCCATTACTCAAGATGGCCACTGCCAGAAATGCTAGTGGGTGTTTTTCAAAATTATTTATCAGCAAAATAAAGAAGGGCACATGGATGGATGGGTGACTTTGCTTTGAATATTAACAATGAAAAAAATCACATTTTTGGCTTGTGGTGCTCAGATGCAGTTCAGTTCCACTTTAAGTAGTTCCTTGACAAACCTGCATGTTTTGCATGAAAAATAGCAGTGTGCATTCTGGCATGTGACTGTGCCTAGTCATTTCTCTGCCTAAAGCTTCATAGCAGCACATCTGCTATGTAAGAATATTTAAGATAAAGCTGCATCTTACTGCTAGTCTCATGAGATTTGGAGTGAGAATTGGTGATGTTAATGCTCTGGTTCTCACTGTTCTCCTTGCTGGAGAGGGAGCTGCAACTTAACACCTGCAGTGCAAGCATCTCCTTGGTTATGCATTATTCATTCTGTAGATATGGATAACTCAAAGGATAACACAGATGTGCATTTTTAACTTGAAATTGTAACATTGTAGGTTTTTACACCAGGTGCAATACATGCACACCAATGGGAATGCCTAGCAAAAAGGGGTGGAGTTTAGAGCAACCATGTGCAAAATCAATTTTATTAACATCACTCTCATTTGACTGGGAAACTGAGTAAACACAGTTTCACTTTATTCAGGAGGAACTATTTGAAAAATGAACATTCACAAATGAATAGCTTCTACTTATTTGATAAATCAACCTAAATGAATGTTTGCTGTATAATAACTCTCATGTGTATAACTAAAATGAACCCCCTCATATTACTCAAAAAAAAAAGCTAAACTCTAGCCAGAATTAAGCTATTTTTCTGCCAATTTTCTGATTTCTGTTTTTTGTTATGGCTTAGTTTCTATTTTATTAATGCGATAATCCTCTTTATAACTGTATAAAGCGGACCTGGGCAAATTGTAGCCCCAGGGCCACATCTGGCCCTTTGGCTTTCTGTATTTGGCCCCAATTGCCTCAACTGTTAGAATGTCTCTCTGAGACTGTCAGCTTCCTCAATGGGGAAACTGACAGGCTCAGAGAGGTACACTTGCAGATGTCCATGTAGAGAGCTGCAAGAACAAGAAGGAGACAACCCGAGTAACTGATTGGTACAGCAAGCAGGCTCAGTTCTGGTGGGAGAGAATTGCCCAGGAGATGTCCCAAGGCTCTCCCCCTACTCTGCTACCCAGCCAAGTTCTTCCTGTGTTAGCGCCTGCATGCTGCAAACCCCAAGAGCTGTATACCAGTTCTTCACTCTAGTTCAAGATCTGCAGGAATCCCTACTGTACAAATCTCAGGCTCTCTCCTTCCAGTCACAATACTTTGCAGAAGGCATTTGACAGGCAGTAAGGAGGTCTTATATCACCTCCTCACCTTCTAAATCTATAATGGCGCACCATCACACTGCAATCCAGTGCATTGCATGTGGTTGCAGTGCATTGAACTTAATAGGCAAGGTTGACAAGCAGTGCTGCTTGTGAAACTCTCCAGCTCAAGTTAAAAATGCTGCTGCCCGCAGCATGTACACAGCCCCATCCAGCTGTTATTTTATAGTTTGGGCAGGCGGCTCATCAGTTCATTTTTACCCCCCCTTCCCCTGACCAACCATCACAAAGAGACTTATTTCATAACCAGTTGTACCTAAAATTCTTCCCAGGTCCAAAATTAATAATAATTAGAATTAAGATTAGAATCACCCACCCCTCATATAAAGCATCCGATTGTTAAAGGATAAGTTCACTTTCAGAACATGTTACATGTAACATATTCCAGCTCTCCCCCCTTGCCCCCATCTCCTTGTGACAGTGGGCAGGGAGATCTGCTTCCTGCATCCGCTGTCACTATTTGAAAAGAGCGCAGCAGTGCAGGGTTCCGCCCACATGGTGCGGCATTCATGCACAGTTTCCTGTGAATGAATCTCTACAAGTACTGTCAGCTGTTGTGGCTAAAGGCTTGTGGTTGTCAATGAACTACCAGGGTGCTGGTGAGTGCTCTGGTAGTCTATTGATTCTTCCTGCTTTCAGACAACTGCTTGCCTGTATGAGGTACTGGCAGACAGCTATGCTGAAAGTCTGCAGGAGACTTAGATTGCACCCGCGATCTGCTGATTGCGGGTGCAATACTCTGCAGGGTCCTTAGAAAATAAATAATAAATGCACATTTTTTTTAACCTGTACAAAAAAATGCGCATTTATTATTTTTTTGAAAAGGTGAACTTACCCTTTCAAATATTTTTCAACTATTTTTGATATATTGCCACAATGATAGCACCAGTTTTTGTTCTTGTGTGTGATATATTTTTACTGCAGCACTAAACAATTTATATCTGCTTGTTCCAGTACACATATCACATTATAAACTCATTAAAGAGAGGTGAATCGTATGGCAATTACATTTTGAAAACATTCTGAATTAATCGGACAAATAGATTGATAAGAGCAACACATCCTTTAAATATTCAGAGAGGGATGTAGTGTATAATTTATTTCGTAAAGTGAGTGAATCCACAGCCCACTTTGAAGCTGGTGAAATCTTGAAAATTCAGTCTGTGATGACACATTGTTTGAATAATAATATATTAATATTAATATTTTCTCCAGTATTTAAAGGTTAATAAAGCTCAAGAGAAGGCAGTATAGTAGGTCTGTTAACATTTGTGGTATATACTATATAGTGCTTTTATGTTGGTCTGAAATCTGTGTTATGCATTTCAATTCCCAAGTATACTATGCGCAATGATAACTCAACTTTTGATCATATTTTCCATGACCCTCATGTACTATTTCTAATAACATATCCTTCCATATCATGCTGAATAGATGTATAAAAATGCACGGTTTCAAATAATGATCCATGAATTGATTTGAAAACCAGATCAAACTAACTGGTGAATCTGCTCATTGTGAATAATTTAGATTTTCTTGAGTGAATAAAAACTTATCCAATCTAATCCAACTTCAAATTACTATTCCTGTATTCCTAAAACCAATAATTATCTGCAGGTCAGGGGAATAAAAAAGTGATGAACTGGCAATCCTACTGCTTTAATTATCCCAAGCCTTATAGTCTAACACAGGGCAAATTTAAACAAAGTAGTCTCCCACCTTGGTTTGAAACCCAAAGTACCTTTGGCTACAATACTTACCTTCTCTCTGGTCCTGTCCCCTGCAGTAGTTAATTTCTGCTACTAGATGTCTTCTGGGCAGGGGCGGACTGACAACTCATGGGGCCCCGGGCAATAGGGGATCATGGGGCTCCTGTGTCCTTGCCCAAACTAAAAAAAAAAGCCTATGAAAAAGGTACCAGGGGCATCTCATGGGGCCCCCTACTGACCCCGGGCCCTCGGGCAGTGCCCTAGTTTCCAAATGGTCAGTCAGCCCCTGCTTCTGGGTTGTTTGATGTTCTGGTTTAGACTGAGGACATGCTGTGAGGGCATGGAGTAATTGGGTCAACATCATGGCACCCTGCACTCACTTAAAATGATGCGGAGAGCAGCATCGTCATGTCATCACGTGAGCACCATTCTCTGCATGTCACATGACCAGCTGAAGACATCAAGAAAATATAAATATCAAATATGCTCCAATGGGAACAGAGAGACACTAAGGGATAGCAAGGCATAACCTTTAAAGGCTGTCATTCTGCCCATTCTTGACATAACAGTTAGGACACAGAATAGTGGGGGATAACAGGGAAGGTAGTGGATATCAGCAGATTTTCTTACAAGGGAACCTAACACGTTGCCCTAAGTCAAATTGGGGACTACTGCATTAGATCCGTGAGGTTGGTACTTGGAATATAACAGAAAAAGTCATATTCTTTAACCAAAATCAAGTGTTAAATCAAGGATCGAGAGTCAGAGGTTGTAGTCAGTCCGATCAGAGACATTGGAGACAAACATAGCATGGTGCAGAGAACAGCAGGATGTCATGAGTCCAGTTGGTAGCAGAAGTGCACCAAAAGAAGTAGGTTCTGGGAGTAGCTGATCATTACCAGAGCTTCCAATACTGAGATTGTATTTGAGTATTCGAGCTGCAAGATGCTACCAAGCCTTTGGAATAGCCTTGTTGACAACAGCAACTGACAATGTGATAAGTAAGCATAATGTGATAAAGAGGATAACAGAAGTTACAGTGCCAGGTGACACAGAGGGTAATTAGGAGACGTTAGGTAAAAACTGACTGCCTTAGTCCCTTGCTGTCAAATGAATGAAGTGTGCAGGCAGGAAACAGCAAGAAACCGATACCGGTCAGTGGAAGGATCAAACAAACAGCAAGGGATTGAGTAGAAGCGGTGATGCTGATGGACAAATTGGAAACAAGGCAGGCAGCCAAAGGGAAGGCAGTAAGAACATAACTAAGGAACTAAACTGTGATATAGCAAAATAAACTCTGAGGACAAAGGATACAAGGTCATAAAATGTAAGGTTTCTAAGATTGAAAGCAAGGGATGGGCATAGCAGACTCAAGGCAGACACATGATATGTCAATAATCCAGTGGTAGTCAACTAGGAATACTAATGGACAGAGTACTAGACACACAAGCGGGGCGGGCTGGGGATTTCAGCCTTGAATCAGACACTGCTGACATAGTAGACACAGTTTCCCTACATTGGTAGGGTTTAAAGATCATGCTTCAACATGTATGTATTTGTTTCTTGGGGGCCACGCAAAATGTGTTGCAGTGATTGGTCATGGTGAAGGGTAAAGAAACATTGTTTATAGTAAAACACTTTTTTACATATGTATGCCGAAATGCAGTATCTAAGGCCTCTTCCGCAAGGCCAGGTAGCTGAGGGTGCCAAAATTGCCGAATCCTTGCTGCTGGAATGACCAGGTAATGCAATCAGCAGCTGGCTTTCAGCTCATTTAAACAAATGGTGGGCTGACAGAGGCCACTGCTGTTTGCATATCCATCTTTATTGTTGTATGAAAAGGTAACATGATACAGCAAATGAACAATGTGGGGAATGAGAAAAAGCCAACACATTTTGTGCTGTTCTAGTACTTGATTATTTTCTCATTGCCCACGGTGTTCATTTGCTGTATCATGTTACTTCTTATACAATAAAGATGGGCGGAGTGCAGCCATCTGGATTTCTGTATAATCATTGGGGTTGATTTACTAAAACTGAACAGTGCAATATCTGGCGCATACTAAGGACTTGAGCGCTGTTTGTGCTTGTTTAATCACCAGTTGAACCAATATCTGGTGCAGCTCTGCATAGAAACCAATCAGCTTCCAGTTTTTTTTTGTCAAAGCTTAATTGAACAAGCTGAAGCTGGAAGCTGGTTAGTTACCATGGACAGTTGCACCAGGTTTTGCAGTCTCCAGTTTTAGTAGATCTACCCCCATTGTGTTCAGCGTGGCAAGATAAACTTGCACCCAAATGAGGCCATGGGCCAACCTGGAGCAGTGTTATATTGTTTAATAAATCTTTGTTTTTGCTGATATCACCAGAGTGTGGTCAGTTTTTCTGTACACTATACATCTATTCTGCTGACACTAGGATCTCTAGTGCAACCCAAAGCATTGAGAATTAAAAAATATCATCTAATGTATGATGATAAACTATACATACATATATATCTGTTTTGTTTAGGAAGTGGAGAATATATTCATGATTCTGTCAGCTATTCTGCATATTGGGGATATCCGATTTACAGCCCTAACGGATGCAGAAACAGCCTTTGTGTCTGATCTGCAGCTCCTAGAACAAGGTCAGTAAGTGATGCAATGCATGGTATTCTCCACTAGATGGTGGTCATATTGTACTGATATACATAACAGGGCTCTCAGCCAGAATGTACTGTATGTTTCGCTGCTTCAGCATAACAAATACAGCATGTTACTGCAGAAATCTATTTTGTGTTCAGAACATGCATTTAAAATGTGCTTTTTGATTTATTGTTTATTGTTATATTATTGGGCACTAAACCTCACGCTATCAAACTTTTTCTTATTTCCCAAACTCCTTTACCAAGCTCTTGTTTCAATTTATTTCTGATCATTATTATACAGGATTTATAGGATTTATTATTATACAGGATTTATATAGCACAAACAGTTTGCACAGCGCTTTACTAAATGAAGGTAGACATTACACTTACAATACATTTTGGTACAAGAGGAAACAGAGGGTCCTGCTCGTTAGAGTTTACAATCTAGGAGGAAGGGTTGAGTGATACAAAAGGTAATAGCTGTGGGTATTTGAGCTGATTGAGGAAATAAAAGGCAGTTTACTAGGTAGAAGCAAGATAGGCTTCTTTAAAGAGAATTGTTTTCATGGATCGTCTAAGGTGGTTAGATCAGGAGATAGTTGGACAGATTGGGGTAGGGAGTTCCAAAGGATGGGCGAAGCTCGGGAGAAGTCCTGGAGGCAGGAATGGGAGGAGGTAACACAGGGACTACGAAGCAGAAGGTCATGGGAGGATCGAAGAGAGTGGTTTGGTAGATATTTTGAGACCAAGTTAGTGATGTAGCTGGGGGTAGAATTGTGGATGGCTTTGTAAGTTGTTATTAGTATTTTGAATTTTATTCATTGGGCGAGTGGATACCAATGGAGGGATTGGCAGAGAGGGGTAGCAGACACTGAACAGTTGGTAAGGTGGATGAGCCTGGCATCAGTATTCATGATGAACTGATCATATTTATTCATCTATCTTGACCTGGAAAAGTTCTAGTACTTGCACTATTTTATGCCATCCTGATGCTAATAATGGCATACTTTGGTGCTTAAAATCCACATATTTATTTCCCTTATTGTAGAAGAGCACCTTTTACCTGATTTTTGGACTTGGTTGATAAGACACTGTCACTTAGGCCCAAAGCAGACGGGTTTGAATGAATTATCCATTAAAACACAGTTTTATCAAATTATTTAGAAACAAGGATGTTTGGGGGAATCAGATAAAACTTAAAAGTTAACAGCTTAATGTACAGACATTAAGCTGTTAATTTTTAAGTTTTATCTGCCAAGACTTTATTTGTCATCAAGCAGGTTCTGTCAACAATTTATTTTCCAGATTCATTTATATTTCTATATGTTGCCTGCACATCTTTTATAAAAGAACCTATTATATGTATAAAGTCATTATCCCAAAAGGAAAAAAAAGTTGTAACTGCTGAAATGTTAGCTGAAATGTTAGCTGGAGTTCAGCTTTAATCTGTTAGCCAAGCTCACCTAAACTTGCTAATGCCTCTAACACTCTCCCAGATTAACAACACTGCTATCTAAAAGTGCCTCCATTGCTTTTCTATCCAGAGTGGAGACAGAGAGTGTTAGGTCATGAGGTGAAAATAAAGTAATAAAAAGTCTAAAGAGAAAAGTAATGCAATCGCCACATTTAAGAATTAGTAAACTGCAAAATATTACATTTTAGTTTTTGGGTTTAGCACTGCCTTAAGGGTTGTCCACCCCAGTGCATTGGGGCAGCCCACTTACATTAAACATGTGCTGTTTTGCTTTTAATGTGCTTTGAGTTAGGCAGATCATTCATTTGGAATGGACCACCAAAGCTCTGCAAAACACTTAAACCAAAATTGCAACTTTTTTTCATTTACATTGGTGTGTTGTATAAAGTGTGTGGGGTGTCATTTAAAATGAATGGCGCTGCAACGTATGACACTGTTTTTTTTCACAAGTTTCTGCATGTGGAAAAATCAATAATTTCACATTGCCACAAATTGCATTTGAACATTTCTAGTGCAAATGGGGCATTGAAATGGTCTTCGATGCATTTGTGTAAATGTATGTACTGACACTAAGGACTACATATACTATATATCAATATCAGTAGAGTTGTAGCTTTGAGATGGTGTGTTTACACCGGCAATAGGGGTCTGTTATAGCATTTTGCATTATCTTTGATTAAACATATGCAATGCATATATACAAAAATGCTTGTTATGCTTACTTACATCCAATTTCATTTCAGTGGCAGGAATGCTGCAGATATTGCCAGATGAGCTATCTACTGCCTTAACAACAGATGTGCAATACTTTAAAGGTAAGTAGCCATCACCAACCTACGTTATCTTGGAATTTTTGCATGTATAATAACTGAAGTTTACTTGCTCTGGAGTTACTATACTTTGCACATAACTTCTGCACCTTCTAGTAACTAATGAATCAAGCCTCTTAGCTGTAAATGAGAGCTTCATGTATTATCCACAGTATGTGTGTGTATACAATATATACAGTATATATATATATATATATATATAAAATGAACATACAAGACATATAAGCAGCGCTGTCTTCAAAATATCGGCAAAGTGTAAATTGCTGTTATATAGCTGCAGGATGGATTTCCGTACATACCTATTTTAAGTAGCAGGTATTAGCTTATGTAGATAAGTTAGTAAATCATAGGAAATCACAGGAAACATGTTCACTAAAAGTTCTGATTCAGTAGTGATTTACATGTTGTAGAGCTTACAACTAACATGGCAGACATGGTAACTACGTTGCAATACAAAAGTGAAAACAGAAACAGAAGTAAAGGAAGCTCAACAGTAACTATAATCACAAACAGGAGCAAGCAACTGTTGAAGTGTATTGAAAGCCCAATTTCTTTTTCTTTTTTCACCATTGTAAGTTTTTTTTTAATTGCTGTCTGTGACATATTATGAAGATTCACTCCCCCTTTTTGCCATTGTGATCAGTGTAACTGGGACTGAAAGGGAGGGCAAAATCCAAAATTGAGTTGTCATGGTTGAGGTTTTTCACCCTTCCTGTTGTGACCACAGGACAGGAAGTAGAAAGAAATCTCCCCAATAGGGTATTGTTGGTAGAAGAAAATAATTCTGACTGTAACAGAGATTTTAACGAATAATTTACCTGTAAAATTACAAAATAAATATTCATTGTATATACAGTAAAATTTAATTGTAATACAAGCGAATATTTTGTATCTTTATAATATTGTTTTTCAAACACGGAACAGCATATACTAAACACAATTAAGCTACAATAAAAGGAAATGAAATGTAGATACATTGGTGTATAGACTCGAATGAATTTGCAGCACTAATTGGTTTGAATGCCTAAAATGTTCCCTGTTTTAAATTTTGGTACTGATAATGGAGCATACATTGACCATGAGACTGTATTAATAAAAATGAGAAAATGAGTAGCACAAGAATGCATATCTCAAAGGATAGTGGTATGGCTACAACAATGAATTTTATTTTTTTTCCAATATACAGGAGATATGATTACACGTAGACATTCTATGGAAACTGCAGAATTCTATCGGGACCTACTTGCAAAATCATTGTATTGTCGTCTGTTTAGCTATTTAGTAAATAATGCCAATTTCTACCTCCAAAATCAAAGTGATCAGAGCAGGTAAGAAAAATAAAGGATATAACAGCATCACATATAGTATTTGATTTGCCCAGCCCATAATGCTATGAATTCAAACATATTATTTGACAGTTATGACCATGCCAATTATGGCTTTGTCCAGTTCAATAATTTATTCTAAGTAAAAAGGTGATTGGAACCCTGTCCTGGACCTCTGGCTTTCAAGTCGGCAAGTATCCTCCAATCCTAGCAGAAAGCCTTGGCAGCACAACTTGGAATTCAATAAGACATTCATCCAAGCAGAATTATTTTGTCAATAGATTGTTACAGATAAAGGAGTCTGCTAAGCATTATTATAGAGCATGCATGTACGTAAGTCAATGTGCATGTCTGCAGAGAATATAACAAAGAAAAACATATACAGTAGTCGTATCATTATTAAACATGTGTCTGACATTTTCCATCAATAGCCAGCTTTGCTAGTACCATTTGTAAATAGAAGTATGAAAGACTTTTAATAGATATCACTGCATGTTTTCTAGTACTGTAGTAAAAGCCTGGCTATCGCTAAAAGAGTCAACTGAGGGTGGTTGATTCTAATAATCTTATTGTTTATTGCACTTAAAGTGAAACTGTGATCTATGCACTATATCATGCACACTAAAGTATTTAGAATCTTTAAAGATTCTGTACAAGCAGTAAAAACACTTTAAAACAAGCCTTCATTTATCTGTGTATCTATAAGCATTACGGTTTACAACATAGGCACAGGAACAGATCTTGGCAAACTGCCAAGCTGTTAGAAACCAACTGAAACCCAACTTCAGAGTCGTTCAGTCTTTGTTGATGGGTAAATGAGTAGAGTCATGCAAATGATTTCTTTTTGGCTCTTTTAGCCATTGTTTTTGGGATATATGCCCAGTGATGACCTTTAAATACCTGCTGTTAGGCAATGCTTCATTACACAACACTTTAGAAGTGGGCTTTTTTGTTCCTTTTGTGCTGCCTCCACATGACCTTAGTAGTTGTACTGTTTCTCCTGGACTCACAATCCCTATACCATGGAGCCAGGAAAGCCATATCTAAGAAAACTGAAACAGCTGTATGCAAGTTGTTAACCTCCCTAGCGGTCTGAGTATGTCAATATTTCTGTGTTCAAAGTGGTACATTTTTTTGCATGGAAATATGTCTTTTTTTATTGTAGACCTGTTATTTTTAGGAATAACTCACTGAAATCTGTCCAAACAAGAGTCTAGTAAACATCCCGGGTATGAAAAAATTTGAAACACGAAATCATAAATGATAATTTAATAAATAATCATAAAAAAATAATATAAATAATAATAAATTTAATTCAATAATATAATCAAACCAAAAACACTGAAATTTTGAAATAGAGCTCCAGTTCGCACATCACTGAGCTTAGTCGCAGAATCGTTTTCAGTGTCTGATGATGAATTTCCCCATGAATCATTATCACTCAATTCTGCAAGTAGTTCTGATTTACTATTGTTGTTCTCTAGCTGGCCTAAAACCACTTTTGACCTAAAGGGAAGCTTTTTGGACACCATGGACGTTTCTCAGTTTCAAGGCAGAAAGAACAGTAAAAATGCAGGCAGGGCACAGGACAAAGCACTAGTGAATGTCACTTTTTAATATTTTTAATTTCCCGACGGTTCCATCCCCCGTACGTCCCGACGCTCGCAGGTAACGGAACCCGGAAGACGTATGCTGGCATCGGCCAGAGGAGATGGCCGGGGGAGCTGCAGGGAGGACATTGCGTGAGCGAAGGACAAGGTAAGTGCAAGAGGGATCACGGAGCAACGCTGCAGGGTAATCCCGAGTGTAGCTCGGGGTTACCACTTTTGGTACTGAAAGTTAACCCTGAGCTACACTCGGGAATACCGTTAAGGGGTTAATATTGTCTCTGTAAAATAATGGCTATATCTGTGTTATACACTATATTGCAATTATAGATATTCAAATGGGTAAAAAAGTCAAAAAGGAATAATTAATATGACTCTACCCACTTAACAATAAAGCAGAAACTGAGCTCTTTGCTTTTGAGTTTTTTGCTAGAAGTGAGTATGCGCATATATTTTTTTATGTATGTATCTATTAAATCGAATGCTTAAAAGTTAAGTATGGCCAAAACGTTTTTGGCCATACTTCTTTTGTGGATCAATGGAGTACACTTTTGCTCTTTTGTGACCCAGAGTCAGCTAAAAGCGGACTATTGCCTGCTATAAGTGAATGTGGCACAGCCACACCAGGCTCTTGAAGGTTCCTGACAATAATGTTGGGATCCACCCAGATGCTTGATTGGCACCTGGCTCAGCTCAGCCACTGAGCGCTGAAGGCAGCCGCTGCTACCTCTGTCTAGCCCGATGCTCCAGGGAGAGCTAGAGGAGCAGAGAGCGGTGATGGTTGCTGCTCTCTGCTCTGATCAGGTCAAGGTCTGAGCGATCAGTGTTCATGTGATTGCTCTATGTTAGAGCTGATATGGGATAGCTAGAACATCACACCAATGCTGCACAAGAAGGTGAGTATGTGTGTTTGTATTTTTTCAAATCCTACACTTCTCCTTTATTTAAACTATTGCATTGCAACATGATTAATATTGTACCGTACAGGATCATTATGGAATCTTGAAAAGAGGCAACTATCACAATCATTAGTTAATATATTTACTGTGGCAAGACACCCAGACCAGTCTATCATTAGGTGGACATAGCAGATATTACTGCACAGCAAAAGTTCACTAAGCTTGATAGGAACCTAGAAGGAACATTGTGTCATCTTAAATTTTGGGTATTCTTTTAAGCTTGATTTGCACTTGTGTCACACATTAACTACGTGACCACAAATAGCTATTTTGCAAAATGCTATTTTTTTTTCTCAATAAAGCAGTTCTAAGAACTATAATGATGTACAGTGTACAGTAATTCTAAACAACAAATGCAGATTCAGTTTAATGTAATGTGGGTTAGTGGATGCCCCTGTCTTTACCCTGAAATAGCCCCTTTAAAATATTTTAATTTATTTCATACATTTAATGAAACTTCACTTTTTTCTGCACATTGAATTTGGATCATTTTGCAACTTTAAATACACTCATATTTCTAATATCCATTAAAGGAGAAGTAGGGCCAAAGCTCTTTTGGCCCTATTTCTCCTGTGGGTCACAGTAGAGCTCTTTGTTCTGCACTCTTGGGACCCAGTTGCAGCCTGCTATTGCCTGGCATCACTCAGATGGTCCGTGCTCTGGATTGATCACAACTTTAAAGTTGGGATCCTTCCAGATGCTTGGACCAGCAGCGAGGTGCTGGGAGACTGAGCCAGCTGCTCTTGCCCCCTCCACAACTCAGCACTCTAGTGAGTGGGGGGGAGGGGGCAGAGCAGAGAGCCTGTGACTGAGCTGGTGACTGAGTGATCAGCAATCTTTGATTGCTCAGTTCTCAGTCTTAGAGGTGACAGGGGACAGATGCATCCTCGGACTGAAGCTGCATCCACCTAGATGAGTTTGTATGTTTGTTTTCTTTCTATTCCCAAACTTCTCTTTTAATCATTTGCATACAGCACCACCATTCATTGCAGGTTAGCTAAAAATTATTTACAGAAATTTGTGTAAATTATGAAAGTTGAATGGGACATGGCAGCTTAATGGTTAGCACTTACAGCACTGAGGTCCCCAGAAGGAATCTCCATCAGGACAGTACATGCATGGGGTTTGCTTGTTCTCCCTATGCTTGTAGTATGTTTATGTATGCACCTGAAGTTGGGATCTTAGACTGTAAACTCATTGAGGCAGGGACTGATGTGAACTTACAGTATATAAAGTGTTGCATACATTGTCAATGTAATCTAAATACCTAAATACTGTAAATAAATGTCAGAAATGCCTACTTTTATATAACATGGAATCAACTGCCCCTCCTCTTTCCATTACCACATTTCCTTTTGAATGTGCTGTAAGGAACTTCATTTGAGGCTAGTGTTAGGATTTCAAGCTGCTGGAATTGAATCCATCTGGTATCAGAATAATTTTTCTTTTAATAAGAAAGGTACATTTTTTCTTTAAATAAGCCTAGTAACATATACTCTTGCACTGGGAAAGCGAGATTTGGCAGAATTGCCCTTTATATTAAGAAATATACTTTTCAGGTCTTGGTTTCTTTAATTTGTTTAGTACATTTACTTGGTTTTACCTGCACAAACAATGCAGTATCCTTAAGTGAACCCTGCAGCAAGGAACTTAGCCAGATGAAACGCACTACTCTACAGCAGTACTAGTCATGAGGGAATCTTCCCCAGGCTGGCAGGCTGCTCTGTATCCTTACTAGGGAATATTACTGTAAGTCATGGATTCTTGACACTTAGCTGCCAAAAAGTAGAGCTTAGACTTCAACTGTCATTTACTGTAAAATTACAGTGCAGCCTTGTCACGTTTGATCAGCATTATCAAAGCGCAAACAGAAGTAAATAGTTTTCAAAAGATGGGTAATAAACATCAGCTTATTGCATCATGCATTCTGAAAAAAAAATACATTGAAAAGAAAATACTAAAATCAACTCATTAGGGATATACTGTATATATACATTTCCAAAGCATCTGAGGTTTAGCTTAAAAAAATCTGTACATCTCTAGTCACATCACTTCATTGAAGTACGTTGCAGGCAACTGGACCCTGAATAAATCTTCACTGCAAGGATGTCTGTCCTCTTCCTGTCCCTGAATTTTTGGTGCTACAATGGTTTACAGCTTTGGGTAGTCAGCCAGAACAGCCACTGAAAAATGTTCTTTCATTGATTACAATGCTTGTAATACAATCTGTGAATGAGGAAATCAAGTAACTGCTTAGAGCCTCCCTCATTCATGGATCATGTTACCACGTGTAAGAACTTTTCACAATGGAAGGGATGCATCCACATTGGATCATATGTACTGTCTGAGGACTTGAAGCTGATAAACCATTGCAGTACCAGAAGCTCAGAGACAGGAAGAGGAAAGTGCACCACTGTAGTGAAGATTTTTCCAGGAT